TGTGGTGTGTGTGTGTGGTGTGTGTGGTGTGTGTGTGTGTGGTGTGTGTGTGTGTGTGTGTGTGTCCCAGTGTCCACGCTTTGTTTAGGCAGCCACGGATCCACGAAGGGATGAGGGGAAATTTTCCCGCTCAAAAATTGTCCAGTAACAACTATAATTATAACTTCTCACGAAACTTTCAAGAAGCTAGTCCTAAAACAGCACGTACTTTCTCGCCGCCATGCCCACACAAAATTACGCGAAAAGTGCCCTATTTTTTGGAAAAATTGGACAAAATCTTACTTCAAAATCTATCTTTAAGGAAGTGATTTCATTTGGGGGGATTTCTACCTTTAATATTGTATTTGACTCGAGCGCCTTTAGTGGTAGAATCGTTCACTAATCCGTCGCCATTGTAATCGGCCATTTCGGTTTTGTGGTTAGGTGTGTCAGGGTGCGTTTGGAGGACGTGAAATTGTGATTAGCTACCTTCTTCCCTATTCTTACTTTCATTCTCTATGCCCCGCATGGTAAATACTTGTTTTCGGAAAAACTGGACATGTCGCAACCGTAACACTAGAACAACACAGAAGAGTCAATTGTGAGTGGTACACAACAATTTGTTTGCCAGCTGACTTCCAAGAAATCAGGAAAACCAACCGCGGAAGACGGATCACTCATCTCCACGACAATGCGAGCTCTCACACATCGGCTCAAACAAGTGCATTTTTGAGCACCCAAAACATCTGATTTGATGAGTCATCCGCCGTATAGTCCTGACTTGGCACCGAATGATTTCTTTTTATTCCCGTACGTAAAAAACAAACTGAGAGGTCAACGTTTTTTGACACCTGAGGAAGCGGTTGCCGCATTCAGAATGCATGTTTTGGAGATACCTCAATCAGAGTGGCAAAAGTTCTTCGACAATTGGTTCAAACGCATGTCAAAGTGTATAGATCTTCATGGGGACTATTTTGAAAATCAATAAAGTGATTTTCGGTGATTAATATTTGTTTTTGTTCTCTAATCCTGAAATATAAAAGGCAACCCTCGTAACCCTGGAAACCTACAGAGCAGTGCATCCGACTGGTAGAATTCTTCTCCAGTCAGCATCTGAATTCGGCTTGTATAGCGAGCGGGGAAAATCAATAACCTTCCGAACTCTGATCGGTCTTTGAGCGAACTCTGCCAGTTTTGTGTGTTATGATGAAATTGTAGTTGTGTAGATGTCTACTTTTGTTGTTTTCGTACGCGTTTGTGTGTTCGTTGGCAATAATTTTAAAGTTTAATGACAATTTATATACGTACAATTATAAGTTTTGTTATTTTATTTGAAATAATTAAAACATCATTACAAAGTTCCAATGATTTTTACGAGTTTTCATGTTTTTTATCGTGTTTTTAACCGGGTGTTTATTTCGGTTTGGGCTACCCTGATATTTGAAATGAATTGTTTATTGTAAGCTGGTATTTTAATCACTTTATTTTATTTGCAGGTAAAGGAGGAGGTGTGGGATCCTTTTGAGAACAATGCCTTAAATGTAAGTTATTTGACCAATATTTATTTATAAGCTGATTTGTCATATTCTTCTATATACATTGCCTGAATATTTGTGATGATTTGGAAACCCACAATTGAATATCTCGTAGTAAAGGCAAAGAAAAGTCCCCTTTTCATAATTTTGCAGGCGGGAGAAATTGAATTAACTTGACTGAACGAGATATTATGGTATTGATTCTTCTTACAACCATTCGAGTCAAAAGATTCTTATGCTGAGTGCTAATTGTCACAATACAGAAGCCCACAGCCATGTAGGGTTATGAAAAAGTTCATTTAAATTTGGCCAGCAAAAATATTGAAAACTAGCTAATGTAATTCGGCATTGCAGTGGTGGTTATCACAAACCTCTGTGGGCGTAAGAAATTCCACCTATAGGGTGAAATGGAAGGGCCTTTTTATCTTCATTCTCACTACGCCTGCCCTCATTTCCGCCTCGTGTTTTCGCCAACTTCACCTAGCCCCACCCTTCCTACTGCAGCCTGCCTGCTGTTATTGTCCTCTCACCTCGCACCCGTCCCGCGATGTGCACTGTGTTTCCCAACCACATTACGCCGTTCTAGAGGCCTGGGCAAATAGATTAATGCGGCCTCCTCCTATTTCAAAGGAAAGCGCCACCCCTTCCCCAACATAAAAACAATTCATTTCTCAATGCAACGGGAATATCTTAAAACTAATACAATCACATGTGTGTAGTAAATTCCATTTGTTACCACTTTTTTAAATCGTCAAATTTCATTTTTATTTCATGTTTTCATTAAAATAATTTCCCTTCTTGAACTGTGTTGTTCATTAGCTTGAAATGTGACTTTAATTAGCAGAGCTCAAATTTTGAGGAGTGAACGTTAAAACAAATAGGTTTTGAATTAGAATAATATGCACCTTTGGTATTTAGTAGATATGAATGGTATAGTGTAGTGTTATCCGCGCACGTTTTCGCGACTCCTCGTTTCGCTAATTGCGAGAGGAGTGGGGAGTTACGAGTATTGTGACAAAAATAATTTTGTCATATTTGCATTTCGTTTTTCGATGCAAAATAGTTTCATTTGAAATAAGGTCAGGTTTTATACGGAGTTTTTATACAATTTAACCAATTACGTTCTCAATTTTTTTCTTTACACTTTTTCTCGTATGTAGCAAAAAGGCAAAAAAAGTGTAGCTAGTCCATTTCGGCGGATACTTTTTTCGAGAATTGGAAGAAGAAAAAAAGAGAGAGAAAAGTACAAACTTGGTAAGGGATTTTTTGGTTAAATGAAATGTAAAAATCAGTCCTTTAAAAAATGTCACTTACAATTTTGTTTAAAAACATAGTAGTTTGGCAAATTTTTTGCAAATTACCGTTTTCCCCCATTTCTTTTGCTACAATCTTTCAGGGGTTGTTACGTTGCCACGCAACTATGGAACGCCGTGGCAGGGTAGTGTGAAGTTCTGAAAATGCCTTCTCGTTGGTGGGAGATGTTATGGCTGGATGAAACGCAATCTTAATTTTTAGATTTAGAGTGTTAGATACATTATTAATTCTGCAATTAAGTATCGCAACTTGGTTGTAGAATATCTTTACTTTATAGGAATTAAGCTTGCATTGACTAACAATAAATTACAAGAGTGATTAATTATAAACAAAAATTAATAATAAATAGTACAAAATTTTACTGCGCAAGCCTTGCTACACATCACTGTACTGCACTCCGCTTGACTGTGATGCATATTTTCCGCATTCCTTTCTCTCTACTTCAGACAACTGCACTGCACTGCACAACATAATAGTATAATAATAATAATAAATAATAATAATAATAATAATAATAATAATAATAATAATAATAATAATAATAATAATAGAACTACTGCAAATAACAATTAAAAAAACTTACTTATTAGGAAATAATACTAATTTAACAGTAGAAACTTAACATTGATCTAAAATATACATAAATAAAATTATCTCAAGCTTCGAGGAAAGGGTTCAAAGATTGTTGCAAGCAAACTGTTTCAGACTGTAATAGTTCGGTTTGTGAATGCAAATTTCACAACGTCCGTTTTATGTTTTCTTGTATTAATCTTAATCTTAATTTTGTGCACATGATCCGCTCTATTGAAGTATGTAGGTTTTCCCAGACAGTTAATTTCATTCCAGGCCGGATATCCTATGTATGCTTTGTACATAGCACAGAGACGCAACTTCATCCGCTTTATTTCGAGTGACTCTCATACTCCTCAATTTTTTGAACTCCCGAAAGTGATTTTTTGATGTTCTACGCTGGAGCTTTTCTAGATTACCTTGTTGCTATTGTAACGTATTAGCCAGCGTGCCTCATGGCATCTATTTGGGGACGCTTGGTTGCGGATTAGTCTCGCCACAGGAAGTAGGGTTTTTCCGTAAAGGGAAGAACGCGTAGACGGGAGACACAAGGCTTTGGGTGTCTTCCGGCTTATAGAAGCTTTTCACTGTTATAACAAGCGAGGGGGTGGCGTGACGTAGGAGGTCACGTGGGCCTCGCCTATATAACAGAGTGTACGGAGCCAGTAGGCAGGTTCTGGAGACAGTGGGAGAACCTCGTGCGTGTGCACAAAACTTGGCGCCAAGGCGGTGCATATGCGAGCCAGGCTCGCAAGGCTGGAGTCATTAGTTGACGAAGCCTGCGGACTTTATGTCCTTGGGTGACTGCGGTCACGGGGGAGCGATGCTGTGTGCGTGCTCCGAGGTGAAGAGTGGTTGAGTGCCACGATTCACGCCGATTCTCAATCGGATAAGATCGCTCCTGCGATCGAGGCAAACCAGCCGTTGGTGCGCCAGAACGGACTTTGTGTCCCAGCGTGACATCCAGTCACGGAAGCTAGGCTTTGTGCGCGCTTCAAAAGTAGGAGTGGCGAATGCCACAATCAAAACAATCTTCAATCGGGTTTTGGATCGCTCCCGCGATCAGGGGATAGTAGGTCTATCAGAGCTAGGGTGTAAGTAGATTATTAAGTGTATATATTTGTTTTGTTTTCTTGTTAATAAATATATTTGTTATACGAAAGCTCTGTGTCTGTGGTCGCTGTGAGTATCCATGACGTCACACTATATTCTGTACGGGTCCCAAATATTCTAACATGGGTCGCACTAGTGACATATAAGCTGATTCTTTACTTCTCACTGTACTCTTTAGGAACCACATAACGAAATGTTAAGATTTCCAGGCTTTCTCCACAAAATTTACTCGATTTTATCAGCTCAATTTACTTCTAATTGTGTTCCTAAATATTAGCAAGATGATACTGTAGGTATGACATTCAGTTTGTACACAATTTCAACCCCTACCAAACGCGATGGGTTTACTCTTTGAACTGTTTATTTCCATGCCGTTTGTTTCTGCCCAGGAGTGTGATTGGTCTGTGTCACGCTGCAAAGACTGTTTTGATAACCCGATAGATGATACAGTCATCGGCAAAGTCTTACATTTGAAGTTAAATTTTTTGGCAAGTCATTCACGAAGGCGAGAAACATGAGAGGTCCAATGACACTTCCTTGTGAAATCCCCGACGTAACACTTTCGGAGGTTGATAAATAACTTCCGATTTGAACCTTCCGTTTCCTGTCACGAATAGTTCGTTTACCCAATCCACCACCCTTGTGTCTATATCAGAATCTATTAATTTGTTTACAAAACGATCGTGTGGAGCAACATCAAAAGCTTTGGCAAAATCTATTACTATTGCGTCCACCCACCTTAATCAATATCTTCAACTAGATCCTGTAAAAGTGAGACAAGCTGACTATCGCAAGAGAAACCGTGCTGACCGTCATTCAGCCATTCTTTGCCCTCCCATTCTTTCCGGAGTAGATAGTAATTAGTTGTTCCATGTTTCAATTGTCGAATGTGTTTAAACTTCAAAAGACCTAACGTTCGCATCTAATGTTATGCGATGTGTAATTCGTGTTACATGTGATAGAGATGTGGTAATATGGGCAGAAATTGCAATATAATAATATTATGGAACAGTTACTAAGGGCGAGATGTTACTAACGTGCTGGTGTAGCAGTACTTGTGTTCTACCTTCTTTTGCATTTTTGAATTTCTTAGATATAATATCTTGTTTCAGATTGAAAACATGACATCAGGAACCATTGTTGTGAAACAAGAATACATATCAGATGAGGTGAGTTTAGTACATTTCAATTATTTTATGTAAAGTTTGAAGATTAAATGTAAAATTATTGTAGTGTGGGAAGTTGAATTGTATAAAAATGTGGTAATTAAAGAAAACAAGCAATTGCACAATACCTTTACATAAAGTTATACACAAGAATGAACACTCATACATTACATAACTAAAATGTATCTGCCCAAAGGGTATAGCGAATTAAGATAGGTGAAATTAACCCACAACCAAACTAGAACACTCCTCATATAACATAGAAAGACAATTTTTTATAATTGTTGATGTTACCGTAGTGAGGTAATATCGAAAAATGTGTTTTTCGCCCCTTTTCTCATCTTTAACGTTGTATGTCGGCGTTTGTAATGTAATGTCACGTAACGAAATGTATTCTATAAACAATTTTCTAAGATATACACCAATTTCTTACGATATTTTTAATTCTTAAGATCAACATATGCCCATCGAGGTGGGTTATTCCTCGTCCTGACGGGGGAGGCAGGGAGAGCTCTCATGTAATTCTTTCTTTCATCAGTGATCTTTATCTTCCCGTCCATTCATTCTCGTTCTTTGATAACATCCTGTCTTTTTTCTACCCCTTCTATATTACTGTCCCCCCCACCCACCCGTATGCTGAATGCTCACCCACGTGTTTAAGTTGTGCATTGCGACCCGTGTCGAAAGGAAAGTGTTCTGGCGATTGAAGGACCTGTCTGTTTCCCAACTACTCTCCTTGTGCTACGGTGTGCTTTGCACCTAGGGGTAAGTTATTTACGTATTTTGGGGGACTTTGTTTGTCCTTGTAGGTTTTCGACACTTGCTTTGGTCTCGGCCTGTTCTAGACTGGCGGTCGGGAGCTAACGCACTCACGATCAATCGGCTTGGACTACTTTCCATTGACCCTAAGAAAAATCCAAATGTAAACAAATGCACATGTTTGGATGATTGTCATTGGTTTGTAGTGTGAGCTCTGTTGTCGGAATCTTGACGCTAAAGTAAATAGTTTTCTGTATAAAAACTAATTTGTCTGTCATCGTTCGTTAAAGTAACCTTGCGTCAAAACTATTGCAACTGTTTCGAGGAGACCATTTTGAACTGACTGACTATTGCTGTGCGATAAGATTACGAGCGTCTGGCAGTTCAGCCCACGAACCTACTGATCGACGTGAGTCAGACACGTGGCTCTTGGGACAGTGGTGCCGCGCCGCCGATCGGCTTGCGAGGCCTTGCTATTCAGTTCGTTTTGGAATGTCTGAGTGTAGATGGCAGTAAAATTAAAACACAAATGTGGAAAATTTCTGCGGAGTAGCGAAAAGCGCATCGTTCTGAACGTTTTCAATTCGTTATTACATAGGAGTCCGTCGTTACCGGTGTAGCAAGTCGCAGAGTTCACTGGAATATCCGTAGCCAGCGTATTGAAACTCCGGGAAGAGCTCACTGAAAAGGGGCAACTTCAAACGCCAGGAAAGAAAAGAAAGGGGGGGGGGGAACCTGTGATTGAAGCATACGATGACTTTGTAGGCAGTACTGGTCGAAGGTACATTCCTTGCATCAAAATGGAGAAAGTAAACACCAACGCTTGCGAAATTGTGGCAGCTTGTGAATTGTGTTCAACAACTTCTGAATTTTAGGCCAACCAATTTATACAAATAATTGACATCCGGTTATTGACAACCACTTCCTATTGTAAGTAAAGTAGTTCAATGAACATGACATTTACATGACAACTCTTATTCCATTTGAATTGACGGGGTAGGCTACGATAGTAGTGCGCTAGGATTTGCCCAATCAGAAGCGTAATGCAGCGCAAATATTTCTTCTGTTCGCATCAGTTTTTCTCTTAGGGTGAACGAATAAGAAGTCTTACTGAACACCAGGGTGAGCGGGGGCATCCACTGCGGGGAAGCGCTGTGTCATGCCCCATTTTATCTCGGTGTCAACCCTGGCACCCCAGTGGGGTGTCCCCTTGTTGGACTCCATGGTGGATGGGGAGCACAAGATGAATTACTATCTATCGTGTGTATATTCAACTGCTACCCCTACCCTCTTCTGCAAGAAAGAGGCATTGTCATAGAAAAGCGATCGATTTGAATAGCTTTTTCATTACAGAAGAAGATAACCCGAGGAAACCACGGTTTCGTTTAACGTCTTCGCGCCGAAGAAGAGTGTAAGCGCGGTCCGACTTGCGCTCTCTCACAAAGCTGCAAGCGGTCGTGCGACAAATAATTGGTACCATCCTCTTTGAAGCGCGCTCCGGCGATCAGATTGAGAAGAGAATTAAAACCAATCATTGTCGGCCTCCTGGTGGAAGTTACCACTCACCCTACTCTTAAACTCTGTATCGGAGTGGTCAACCATAATTTTGCGTCTGGGAGTGAGGAGGAACTTCTCTTCCTTTTCAAGAGCGAAGGTGTCACCGAGATTTAAGGATTAAAAGGAGAACGGGAGACGGACCCTCACTCCCACTCTGATCCTGACGTTCAATCTCCCAGCCTTCCTAGAAAGGATCTGCGGTTGTTAGTCTTCGCGTGTGGCTGTACGTGCTGAACCAATTGCGCTGCTTTAAATGCCACAGATTCTGTTATGCGCAACAACTCTGCTTGCCCTGTATGCGCCAAGTGTGGTTGGTCAGAACGTGTTAATTAGAACCCTGCGCTACAGCATTATATTGTGTGAACTATGAAGGCGACTATGCGGCAAACTTTAACAAGAGCCTACCCTTTTAAAGGAGAGATATATCCAGAAGATTGTAGTGAGCGAGGTGTCCTTTCTCGAGGCCATACGCCGTTATCTGGCGAGAAACCCTTTAGATCTCTCTCGGTCTTTCTCCGGTTCAGTGAAAAAGCCTGCGAAGCCAGCATCGAGCTAACAAACCGAACCGTTACCATCTATGTGCGACGCAGCTTGTCGGGTCTTTGAAGAATTGACTCATACTACCACCTCTACCGTTCCGTCAATAATCAAGCCCAAAAACATGTAATGCAACAAATACCCAAGTTCATCCCCAACGAAATCGAGTCCAAACGTTACCACCAGATCTTGGTCACCTATCTCAAGGGGTCAGGATACCATTTCTGGTCGCACTCTCTAGCAGTAACACTCGTTTTCGTTCCCATTTGGAGGAATTAAGGTTACTAATCGCCAGTCGTAACCCGTTCATTATATGCTTGTAGGACCATCTTCTACTCCAACATTCCCTCCGCGGTTTTTGCTCGTACCGTCTCGACCAAGATATCGGGTTTCGCGCTCATGGTGGTGTCGCGGTGAATGCGATTCCTGCGACTCTGCTCTCCAAGAAACACATCCGAACTGATATCCCGACCTTGTGCGTGCGGTTGAATTTACCTTCAGCCCCGCTCACTCTGTGTAATGTATATCTTCCACCCGCACAAACCATGTCGCGGAGTCAACTTGAAGACGTAATATCCCAGTTGCTCCAGCCTCTTCTTGTTGGAGACTTCAATGACCAAATTCTCGCTTAGGGTGGTACGAGGTTCTGCTCGATAGGCACTATTCTTGAAAATATTATTGACCAGCAAACAATTCTTAATTCTGGGAATTATACTTTTCCGTGGCTTTAAACACGTCAATCAATTTGGCACTCTGCTGTCCATCTCTATGTACTATCTTAGAGAGGACTGTTGTCGATGACTACATGGGAGTGACCATTTCCTTACTCTGGTCCTCTTTGATATTCCTGATTTAGACATTACCCACCCATCTCGCTGGCAAATCCTTAGCCCTGGGATACATTCAGCAAGAAAATTAAAATCCCAGAATGTTGTAATGTCATCGATGCTTTAGAGGCCCAATTCGCCGATTTCATCGCAATACCGAAGTCGCGTGAAGTCTAGTCCCTGTGCCTTGGTGGAATGCTGACTCTGTCATCTCTGTGCGTGACGGAAAGCGGCCATTGGCGAGGCTCAATAGTTTCCCCCACCACCGCAAATCTGATTTCGAAAGGAAGCGGGCCAGAACTAAGTTGGTAATACGGGAAAGTAAGACCGCATCCTGGGGAGCCCTTATTTCTTCTCTTTCTTGCCCCCCTAAAGTAGTGTGGCGAAAAGTCCGAAAGATCGGAGGAAAACGTTTCCCACCGTGTCTCAGAACTCATTAATGGAAATTTCACTTCTTCAGCAGAAGTAGTTGAAGTGGCCTGTCACTATGAAAAAACTTCCAACTCCTTATAGTACTCCCCTAGCATCTTGAAAACGAAGAGAATGGAAAATGGCAGACTGGACTTTTCAAGTCGCCTGGAAGTTTTTAACATTCCTTTCTCCATGGATGAATTTTCTTCTGCCCTCGTCCGAGGAAAAGATTCTGCTCCAGGACCAGACCTGATATACAACCAAATTTGTTAGTTACCTTTCTTAAAGTTTAGAATACGCTTTCGCCAAGTTTAACTGTTGTTGAACGTTAGGCCAAGGAAAGTTGCGGATTCTGCGAAGGGAAGTTGACGACCTACAAGAAAAAGATCAGGGTGGTTATGGAGATGATGAAACCTACATGAAGTACCTCCTTTAATGAAGACTACGCGAGCCTTGGTGACAGCGTATCTACCAGTCACCAGTTAGAAAACGGTGTCCCTCAGGGATCAATTTGTTGTCACCTGTTTGCCATTGCATCAATAGTATTGCATTAGTAATTCGGGAACCTATGAAAAACTTCGCCATATTTTGGTCCTCGAAGAGTATGCAAGTTATTGAGAGGTAGTTACAACTTGTGCTCAAGAAATTGCATGAATGGAGCGATGTAACAGGATTCTCCATCTGAAAAACAAACTGAATGCCCTTCTGTAGGATTCATCTCCATCACCCTATCTTCTTGTGGGTCATCAACTTCCCTTCGTCAAATCCGCAACTTTCCTTGGCCTGACGTTCAACAACAGTTTAACATGGCGAAAGCATATTCAGAACGTGAAGAGCCGATGTATATCACCGTTTAACCTCCTTCGCACCGTGACTGGTATATCATGGGGCACATACAGAGATTGTCTCTTGCGCCTGTATAGGACCATCATCCGTAGATTATGGATGTATTGTTTATGGGTCAACGTCTCCGTCGGACCTGCATGGCTCTGGCCATGGAGTACCATACACAATGCCGGTAGACGGGTCAGCTTCGGCGCCTACCGCACAAGTCGCATTGAATGCCTCTTGGCCAAGGGTGGAGACCCATCCTTCAGCCGAAGGCAAAATGTTGTAATGGGCTCCTATGGTGAAAAAGCATCAGTGACAAGTACTCCTTTGCACCAAGCAGTCCTTCACCCAAGTCGCAGGTCATTGTACGCATTCAGACCATCTTTACCCCATCCCCCGGATGTCTGTACACGCTTTTGCAGAAACTAGATATATACCTCCCCATCCCTGTGAAATCTCCGTCAATCTTGTTTTCCCTTTGGAAGCTTCTCTGGCTTAAAATAGACCTGAGATTATCAAACTTCCCCAAATCCTCAACTCTCCCCAGTATATTTCTGACGGAATACAGGAGACGAAATTCATGTACCCCGGCTAGAACTTCATTTACACTGATGGCTCCTCCCAAAATGATAAAGTGGGATCTATACTCACAGTTAACCGTAGATTTCAAACATGAAAAAAATGAAATACAATCTCATAAATCAAATGCAGAGACAGTTTAGATGAGCTCGGATGAATAAAAGCAAATTAAATCGAATTTTATTGAAACTATGCATTTATGTTCTTTTTTTTCTTTTTTAGGAAGGTGGAACTCTTCCTTTATCTTTGCTGCCAGCTGCAATTAAAGAGGAAATTCTTGATGAGGTAAAAGAGAGAAAAAACTTCGCTTCTTATTTTTTATGAACTTAACTGAATATCAATTACGTTTGCCTTCATGCAGCTCAATATAATTGTATCACTGGAACGGAATTTGAATTTAATTGATATCTGTACGTTTGTTGCAGGGCTATTTATCCACAGCACCAATCCTCGCAGGAATTGCAGGGGCATTGACAGATGCACCAGTGAAGAGGCCGCGAGGCAGACCTCGTGGTGAGTAAAGTTTATGATCTAATCCATTCTTATTGTTCCTTGGTGTTATTCCCAGAGCTAGGTAATGTTCTTACACCTAAACCTAATCGTACTTTGGTGAGCTATGGTTTTTCTCAGGAACCATGTGGTGTGGTGAAGCGAAGGCCTTGAGACATACTAGTTGTGTAAAGGGTTATTTCATCGATTCGCGAATCTACAGATTTGGTTATGCTACCTACTTTGTGCAATTTTGATAAATGGTGCTTTTTGTTAAGAAACGCTCCGGGAAATGCATATTTAAACATTTGTAGTCCCCCATGTTTAATTGACTAAATTATTTGAATTGATTCTGATGATAGGAACCAGTTTATTATAGTAGTGTGGTGTTATAGTAGTCTTGTAGGTACAGACCGATGCAAATCATTACAAAAATGTATAGGAAAGGATTCTCTTCAAATAATGTCGCATTATAGTGTAGTATACATTAATTCAGACATTTTTCTTTGTTTCATGGGCAAATTAGTCGTTGATGCTCCGCTAGTTAAATTTAAAATAGTTATAATATATTTTAGTAATGTAACAAAAATCTTAATACTTAATCTTAAACTTAATTAAATCTTAAACTTAATGAAGTGGTGATGGCGCAGTAATTCATAAATACATCAGCTGTGGTACGTCAGTGATGTTAAAAGTGAAAATAAGCGATGAGGACCTCTGCATTCACGGTTATCGAATTTGGCCCGTAAGCCCTATACACGAAACTGGAAATTTCCTTAGATATCTAAATTTAAAATGTTGCTAAATTATTTAGAGTAGGATACAATATATACTCTAGGGTCACACGCTCCCAGTGGTTCGTGAGTTGCTTATGTACTGCATAGCTTTGAAGTGCGCAACCTTTCTACTTGCACCAATATTGGCCTACTATAGGTACAGCGTGAACCAGAACTCTTTTGGGAGGTGACTGCTGAGTGTAAGTGGAGCAAATAATGCGGCTTTTCTGAAATGCTCTTTATGGACAATGTCGTGCTCAAAGTTAAAGTCGTTGGATCGCTAATGGAAAAGGACAACGGGCGTGGTTATCAGCACTGCCGTTTTCAGTTGTCTTTTCAGAGAAGAAAGAATCTTTCGCTAACACAAGGCGATTCTGGCCGGCTCCATTTGCACCCAGGAACCACCTCCCCGCGTGCGCCCGAAGAGCTCGCGTTCAAGCTGCCTTTTGTTTGCACCGTGCCCTTCAGCTCCTGCACCTGGTGTTTGGGTGCGCAGGCTCGAAGAACCGCGTGCCCTCCCCGCTGGGCCTCGGCCTGGTCGGGGCGGCTGCCGTTGGTGACGGGCGCGGGCGCGGGCGGGGCCGAGGCCGCGGGCGCGGCCGGGGGCGTGGCCGCGGGGGCGGAGGCGCCGTGGGGCGCGGGGGCGTGCGCTGCGGCGTGTGCTCCATGGCGCTCAGCACCGCCCGTAGCCTGCGCCGCCACATGCAGTGCGCCCACAACGCCCTGCGCTTCCGCTGCGACAAGTGCGACGCCACGTTCCCCCGCCGGGAGGACGTGCGCGCCCACGACTTCGTCCACACAGGTGAGCGGGCGCGACTTCCAGCCCGGCCCGGTTGGTGTACAAAAACAGCGGTGGCTCGCCCCGTCAAAAAGTAGCAAGGAAATCGAAAAAGATTGCCAGTTGAGAAAGGTAGTGCAGATGCTGGTATTGGCTTAAAATGAATATGCGCATTCCGAAAATTGCACTACACTTGCCTGTGTTGATTGCTGAAAAATATAAAGATAATGTGCACTCTCCTATTTGTAAATGCCGTGCATCTTTATCGGCGTCGAGCCCGAAAGTAGAAAGACTGCGGGCAGACTCCGTTGTGATTGGTTGGCCTCCCTCCGCTCACTGTCAATGATTTCTCATCGTCTGTGCTGTAGTAATATGGAACGGTGTGGAGTAAATCCAGACACGCTGATTACTCTTGCATATGTTTTACAAAAATTTAGCTTAGTAGCGCAAACCTACTACAACCGGAAAGAGCCGCCGCTGTGGTATAAAGTATACGAAATCTTACTTTTTACTGTGGAAAAACTCTTGTATAGTAGGAGGTTTAGCGACCTGGGATCTTTGGTTTTAAGAAACCCATACGAGTATCTACGTGCGGCCTGTGATTTATTTTTTATTCAAACCTATAAAGAAAATGATTAAACGGGACACTTGGAATGCGCCTTGTGCGAAAAGGAGTGGAGATTCAAAGCTGTGATTGCTAAGGAGGCTGGGCTTAATAAACTATTGCGAATTTGATGCAGCCAATTTAACTCCGCTCGCCCTTTCCAAGTCTATGGTGAGGCATTCCACACGTTTTCCATTTATCCATATACTTCATCTGTTTGTCCAAAGACAAGCTGTTCGCCCGCTGCTAGAAACGCGGTGGAAACGTGTCGCCCAGTTGCTATTCCGTTCCACAAACGTAATTCGGCATTCACACCAGCAGGGTGTCGAGTGAAAGCTCAGTTTCTCCGTATTTGCAGGTGTCTGAACGTTTGGTGCACGCAATTAAGGTTCAGAGAAAGACTAAACTAGTTTTGAAACATTTTCAGTCAACGGCTTCGGGGGGCTACCCTGAGGATTGACAGGGCTTGGGGGCAATAGATCAACGGGTATTTTTCGTAAAGAAAAATATAAATAAATTATATAATTTTAATTATTGAATATATTATTTGGGTAGCATTTGTGCACGTTCTGAAGTATGCGTGCATTACCAATGCCGGTGATTCCAAGATCCTGCGAGTTAGTCATTCCATATTCGGCCGACGGCTGGCGCAGCGCGCTAGTAGCTCGGGAATAAAAGTGTCCCTTTGAATATACTTTTAAATAAATTGCACGATACCTAAGTATTCCTCTAGTTAAAAAAACATTTTGTATGTAACAATTCATTTCCCGTGATAAAGTAGATACGGGATATTTTTGCATTGATGCTTACAAAATGTTTCGCGCTTTAAAGGCGTGAATTTATTAATTTCGCCCAAACTTATTTCGTATGGTTTCTTGAACTGATTGCTAGGCATTCTTTGTGAAAAACAATTCTGTGTATGTTGATGCCACAGCTCTCGTCTCATCTAGACAGAGAGGTCCTTGGTAGTTGTCAACTAAGAGGTGAGAGGGTGAATGTACTTGTAGAAGTAAACTGCAAATGGAGGGCAGGAGTGAAGGGGTGTGGGTGGTTGCAGGAGGGCGGCCGTACGCGTGCCGCCTGTGCGGGATGCGGTTCAGCAGCTCGTCGCACCTGTCGCGCCACCAGGTGACGCACACGGGCGCGCGGCCGCACGCGTGCGGCGAGTGCGGGGCGCGCTTCTCGCAGGCGAGCAACCTGCGCGCGCACGTGCGCTCGCTGCACGCGCGGGAGCGGCCGCACGCGTGCGCCGAGTGCGGCGCGCGCTTCGCCCACCGGCCGGACCTGCGCGCGCACGAGCGCACGCACACGGGCGAGCGGCCGTTCGAGTGCGCGCAGTGCGGCGCGCGCTTCGGCCAAGCGCCGGCGCTGAGCCCCACCTGCGGCGCGCACGCCGGGCTCTGCGCCGCAGCGCGTTGCCGCCGTGTGCGGGCGCGCGCTTCACCACGCCCCGCGCACCTGGCGCCGCACGACGGGAGCCGCCGCTGCCATGCACGTTCCGCTGCGCCACGGCGCCGGCGCACGCGCGCGCGAGGAGCTGCGGCGCGCACGTCGCGCACGCCGCCAAACCCGGAGCATGCCGCGCGCCCCGCGCCCGCCCCGTCGTGCGCCTCCGTCCGCCCCCGCCCCCGCTGCTGCTGGGCGACGACGAGGACGACGGCGGCGGCGGCGGCCTGCCGTGAAACTACGTGCGAGCGGTAAGTGACGAGTTTGTCTGCCGTCTGCGAGGAAGGCGCGGTCCAGCCGCGGCGGGGCCAGGAAGGCCTGCGGAGGTGCGGCGCAGAAGAGGCCTTGGCGAGGGAGTAGCGCCCCGCCCCAAAGAGCAACGGGGATCCACCTCTTCCAATGGGCAGCCGCCAAAGTCATTGGAGTGAGTTGCGAGCCGTGCGGCCCCTCGCGGCTCTGATACTGTGATAAAAATGTATTGGATATGTATTTATTCTGATATGTGGGTTCCATATGCTGTATTTAAAATGTCTTCTGGTGTTTCAACACTTTCAGAATTATCTTTAATTGACTGATGTATATAAAAGGGAATTGTAAATTAGTATTAAGACGCAATAATTCCTTTCAGTTGTTTAACGGAGCATAAATAGTCAATCGCTTAAGTCATATTCTATGTGTTAATCAATTCTTGAATTCGTACTGCAGAATGTTATTTCTGTGGACCTAGTCTGCATGAGACTGACAGCGAAAAATGTTTTCACTTGTTAAATAGTTGGTTATTTTTGTGTTTAATGTATGGGTTATAAAGTGCCCGAAAGTGTATATTCAAATTTTTATAAATGGATGTTGGAACATTGTTGTTTTCTCTTTGTTAGGCACATAGTGCACGTTATTTTTATTTTTTTTGTGGGCGGGGGGGGGGGAGATAGAACACTTCTTGACAGGAGCGGCCTGCCTTGCGTATGTATGCGCACCACGCTTAAGAAGTGTTCTCTACAATTTATTTCGTGTGTAAACATGCATGCGTTGCCATGGTGTTCGTGATTGGCTGCGCTGACAACCGAGCGCGAATGTCCAGAAGTTCTGACGATGGCCATAAACGACTTTACGGTCCCACTAAGTATCGACTTTCATTTAGTGGAAGAAAAAACCCATTGGTTTCGCATTCGTTTGCGTTTATTTCAAACAATTGTTTTTGTGAAAGGTTTCTCTCTGCAATCACGCTCTCTGAAAAGGAGTGCGTTGTCAGGCGGAAAATCATAACACAACTGCCGCGTGCTTGTTTACATGCCAGTCAACGAGTGTGAAGGCACATGTCACTTTGCGGCGATCGTTTCAGATGTGAGCGTCCGTTGGAAACGGTACTAACAATCGCAGGTAGACTCGCTTATGGTGAGAAGGAGTTTTTGCACAGCATGACACTGAATCGGATGTAGGCTAAGCACCAAGTTAGGTGTCTGTGCGCATGCGCCTGTACGTTTTGGAGGCTGTTTTGAAAAGCTAGGATGAATAAGTGTAATGAAAGTTGTGTTCTGCATTTTCGAATATGAATATGTTGACATAAATAACTACTGATAAAACTACACTTAGTACCAGAACGGAAAGTGAAGAAATAGTAAAGATGTAGTTATTAACTTATAATTGGGTGGGTTCAATGAAAAATTGCCAATACACATTAATCAGTTCTTTCCTTAAACTGGCCACAAAAGTAATAAAATATTAGCATTTGTTTTATATTGACCCTGAAAAAAGGTAAGGGAAAACCTGTTGCTAATATGAACACTGTTGTAAATTTAGTCATGGAAGATTTTTTTACTGAATTGTTTTAAGCAATTCGCCAATCTTGTTTGCAGACCTCTTCCTTGCCAGATTTAAATTTTTCAGTGAAGTCTAACAAATGTGGTGCCAGTAGGGAATACGATTGGGGTTACGATTAGACTAATTGATTCAAAGCATTGTTTCCAACTCGCCTAAAGTGTCTCGGCAACTTTGCAAAAACAATCTGGCATTCACCCCAGAAGGTGGTCAGATTGATGGCAACAACCACACAATCTTGCCCTCTCCTGATCCTGAAGGAAAAACCCTCCTAATGTATCGGGCAAAAACCTTCAGACAGTCTGCAATTTGAGGTATACTCCAGCGGTAGGCCCTCAGATTCTTCAGCAGAAGAAATGAACAGCTACACAGAATCCCACTGCACCTGCAAATTGGGAATCTCCGGCAGCATCAAAGGCACTTAAGCCATTAACGCCTTCACATGCAGGCACAGGCTCACGATTCAAAACTTACATTAATAATAAAAATAAAGTAACACCATATCAATAATCATATTAGTTAAAAATGGACTTAACATCTAATCACTTTACAAATTTAACTTTCTTAATATTACTTATTAATTTTAATAACATTTTTAGTATTACTAGAGTAGTTATTAAATAAAAAGGATTTAAAATGAATTATAACTGAAAACAATATCAATGATAAGCTAATTTAATCTACACTGGCACGTGTGTGTCTCGTCTTGGCCTTCAGAAATTCCAGATAGCAGTGTGCAGCCTACCAATGGAGCTGCAAAATAGCAAACCTCTCGTCATGTTCCTTCACCTTTGCTGCATATATCTCCATCTTCGCTGCACGTTCCTCCATATTCGCTGCATGTTCCTTACGTCTCATTTCCTGTTGCTCTTCTGCCATCTTTAACATTCTGCTATCAAAGTTCTCTTGTTTCCTACAGAAGAACACATGTACTTCAGGTCTCAAATATATCTTGCTTTCATTTAACCTTTATCACACTGCTATTTTTAATTCTACATAAAGATTGCTAATTGAAATTCATGGATACTTTTCCATATATAAAAACATTAACCCATTGTAATGAGATGGATGACCCTTATCTTACAATTACACTTTCCATTGTTTGAGAAACGTATAGGATTGCATAATTGTTTCCTAATCAGATCAACTTCACTGTACTCCATTTGGTATAATTTCATTTAATTTTTTTGTTGCTTTTAATGTTCCCTACAATCAATTATAATTCTAAGTTAATTAAAACATGCCACTTATGTGTTCCTTCTGAACAAACCATGAATAAGGGTGACCACCCCATTTCCTGACTTTTCCTTTTCTGTTCCTGATAAGATATGGAATTTCAAACTAGTTAAAGAAAATATTATAAGTATCATACCATAGACTAAGGAGGTATATATCATTACTCTATGGTGATACTAACTGCTCAGCTCTCTGATTAGATGTAACAAAGTACAAATGAACAATATCATCATAAAATAAAAACTCAGTAAATAATAACATTTGTTGGCATCTCCACCATCTTGTACTAATGTTTTCAAGGAATAATATCTACTCTCAAACTTTTCCCAGAACTCTAAAGATTCTTCTCCAAATTACCTGATTTTTCCCAGTTATCCAGAAAGTTTCCACCCAGTCAATACAATTTTAGTACTGAATCTATTTGGAATGTTTTGAAAAAAATATTTTGCATCAATTTTGCCAATATTTATTCATACCTAAGTATCAAAACTAGATTGTTCACGTTTTAATACTGTAAAATCGAACAGAGAGCCCGGAATTGGAAAACTAATGCAGGGAAAAGACTAGTAGAGTGGAGCTCTAACCCTAAACAGTTTCTGAAGAACTACATAATTATACCAAAGGTAAATATGTACAAAAATTGAAGCACTTGCACTTTTAGAATGAAAATTTATACTGTAATAGATTCGTCGATAGGGGAGGTCAGGATCCATTGGAAATAGTATGAAGTTAACTTGTTAACTATGCTTCACTGAGGTGTAATGTTTCGTGTTCGCCTGACCCCTCTCGGGGTCTCTTCGAACGTTGGGCGGTTTTGGTGGATTTTTGATTTTTTGGGGTTTTCGACTTGTTAACTAGGTTAATTTTGCACACGTATGTGGGCATATCTAGCATTTTACCTCTTCTTGGCCTTATTTTTTTGTGGTGTTTCCACGATGGGTATTTCTTCTACTTCTACATCTTCCCATCTTTCATCTCTTCTTTCTGCTGCATCACTAGGGCCTTCCTATAAAATTAACCAAGTGTTTTAAATATTTGTGAGAATGAAAAATAACCTATAAATTGTGTAAAACTTGCCTGAAATGGTAGCACATCATCATCCAATGGGTCATCCAAAGGATCATATGAATTCCCCAGTAATGCTGCTGTAATCTCTACAGCCTTGTTCTTAAAGGCAGGTTTACTGGGTCCGCCACCAGTCTTCTGGGACAACTTATTGTAGTTGTCCACCGCGGCTTTGGCATCTTTTAGCCTTCTCCACAATCCTACACAGAAATGTTGCATTAAGGTGTGGTCAAGATGTGATTACTGTACCTAGAAATTTAAAGGTACACAATGTTGTATTACAAATTCCTTACATTGATAGAATTACCAAAATAAATTTGAACGAAAATTATATGCAATGCCTAAGTTGAAAATACGCCAACAAAGTGCTTACCTTTCAACGACTGCTGTCCGTATGGAGCTTTCCCAGGATTCGAATTATTAAATTCGTCGATTATTCTCTTCCATGCAGCCTCCTTCTGCTTCAACACAGTTGCACTGTAGCCCGAATCCACAATCACCGGATATCTAGTACAAATTTCTGCCATGAGCAGACGTTCGGAATACTCGAAACGCGTCATCTACACAAATTACACGATTTAATTGTATTATGAATTGTTGTTGTAATAAGAATTCGCGTATATACTTATTGAATTAGAATAAAGATACATTGCTCTTAAGAAATATTTCTATTGGTCTTACCTTGCTATTTTCTTTATGGATAAAAACAGCACGAAGCACAACTGAACTGCTCAACCGATCACAAACAAATGGACCGAGCTACGCTGTTATGATGTAAACAGTCGCACGTGCTTCCGAGAAACAAAACACTAGCGCCTTGCGTCGTCGAGAACGCGACGTTGCCAAATAAATTTCATTCGGACGGTGGTCTGAGACGACGCGCGGCAGCGCAACGGTGAGACATCGTATTCGCAGGCCAAAACCCGCCGTGGCTTGAGCGATGGCTTGCAGACCATGGCTTTCAGGCAGCGGCTCAGGCATCGATTTGATAATCGATCCAATGACATTGGGGGAGGGTGCGGACATGACACAGCGCGCTAGTCACAGAAAAAATCCTCTTTGGGAGTATTTAAAAGGGAGTTGTTGCTCGGTAATCACTTCATTCACACACACCGCCAATTCAGCAGCAAAAC